GCTTTACAGAGGTCGGATGTGGGCTTTACAGAGGGCTGCTGTTTATTTTACAGAAGTCTGCTGTGGGCTTTACAGAGGTCTGCTATGGGCTTTACAGAGGTCTGCCGTAGGCTTTACAGAGGTCTGCTGTGGGCTTTACAGAGATCTGATGTGGGCTTTACAGAGGTCTGATGTGGGCTTTACAGAGGTCTGCTGTAGGCTTTACAGAGGTCTGATGTGGGCTTTACAGAGGTATGCTGTTTATTTTACAAAAGTCTGCTGTGGGCTTTACAGAGGTCTGCTGTGGGCTTTACAGAGATCTGCTGTTTATTTTACAAAAGTCTGCTGTGGGCTTTACAGAGGTCTGCTGTAGGCTTTACAGAGGTCTGCTGTGGGCTTTACAAAGGTCTGCTGTGGGCTTTACAGAAGTCTGCTGTGGGCTTTACAGAAGTCTGCTGTGGGCTTTACAGAAGTCTGCTGTGGGCTTTACAGAAGTCTGCTGTGGGCTTTACAGAAGTCTGCTGTGGGCTTTACAGAAGTCTGCTGTGGGCTTTACAGAAGTCTGCCGTGGGCTTTACAGAAGTCTGCCGTGGGCTTTACAGAGGTCTGTTGTGGGCTTTACCAAAGTCTTCTGTGGGCTGCACAGAAGTCTGCTGTGGGCTTTACAGAAGTCTGCTGTGGGCTTTACAGAGATCAGGAGTTGGTTTTACAGAGGTCTGAATTTGGTTTCACAGAGGTTTAGTGTTCTTTTTACAGAGGTCTGCTGTGGGCTTTACAGAAGTTAGGAGTTAGTTTTACAGAGGTTTTGAACTGGTTTTACCAAGGCCTGAAGTTGTTTTTACAGAGGTCTGGAGTTGTTTTTACATAGGTCTGGAGTTGGTTCTACATAGGTCTAGAGTTGTTTTTACAGAGGTCTGGAGTTGGTTCTATAGAGGTCTGGAGTTGGTGTTCATTTTACAGAAGTCTGGTGTTAGTTTTGAAGAGATTTTGAACTGGCTTTACAGAGGTCTGAAGTTGTTTTTTACAATCTGAGTAAGAACCACATGTAGTACCTATATATGTATATATAACAACCTTTATTGATATCGTATCCCTTCTGGGATATAGATTAAAATACAATAAGGATATAAGGAACAATAAAATACATAAGTAATAATAATAATAAAAAAGAAATAAATAGTAATACTGTGAAAATATTATTATATAAATATTTTTTTGGTGTTATTTTGAGGCAGCTGGTAAATTGCTTTTCATGAAATTCTCTCTTTTATTGAAACAGTCGCTGATAAACTTGGCAATTGCTTGGACGGTTTCAGAATTTTTGTTATTGAGAAGTGCTTTCAGATTACCGGATAAGTTTACGTTTTCAAACAAAGCATCTCTTTCAAATTTGTACTGGTTACAATTGAAGAGGAAGTGTTCTTCATCTTCAATTTCATTGGAGTCACAGACAGGGCATGTTCTATTTAAGACATCTATGTTGTGATATCGCCCAACTTCAATCTGAAGTATGTGGGCACTTATCCTCAGTTTAGTCATAGATGATCTGTATGTAATATGTAATATGTAATATCAAAGCAATTGGACTTGCAGTTTTCAACAAGAAGTCGAAAATATCACTTTTTACCAAAAATGACAAAAATATTCTCCAAAATTAGAGAATTAGAGATATCATCACAAAATGAACAAATCTGAGAGAAGTCTACATGTAGTACCTATATATGTAATATCAAAACAATTGGATTTGGGGTTTTCAACAAGAAGTCAAAAATATCACTTTTTACCAAAAATGACAAAAATATTCACCAAAATTAGAGAAAATTTAACGTCGAAGGGCCAATTTACGACAGAATCCGGTACATTGTATAGACAGGATTTCTCTGATTGTAAGGTAACGTTACCGTAGTTCTGAGTATGTGAAAAAATGACTGACCTCAATAAAGTGCCATTTGCAACAAATTTGCCAAATGGTGACCTCAAATTAGCGCCAGACAGAAATGAAAATGCATCAAAGTGTTGCCTATATGAGGTATTATATGATACTCACCATAAATTCTGAACGCATACTCTGCCTTGACTCCCTTGGGGGCATTGTCACTGAACACAGACATCATATCCAAGAAATCTTCAAACGTTAAGTCACCATCATTAGATGATGAGAAGACTTTACAGATACGGTCGTTGAATGGATTTACCTGAACACAGAGAACAATACAGGACTCAACTTTTCATTTGCAAAATTAAAAGTAGCCAAGCAACAGCAAAAGGCATGCAGTGCCAACAATGGAAAATATATAATTACATTATTAAGCCTGCATACATCAAAGAAATTATTTTTTTTTTACCTTCAACTCCGAAAGTTCTAATATTGTGTTCATAGGAAGTCTCACATTTCTGTCTTGCCTTACAGCATCTGGGTCCAATAAATGAAAACGCTTGAAGGCACTGAAAAGTAAAAAAGCAAAAGTTTTATTTAAATAGATTATAAGCGTTCTTCCCAGACAATGGCATGCAGTATCAGACATTTTGCATAACAATAGAATGTGTTCTATTGTGTTTATTGTCATGCTAAATTTGTTCTATTGTTGCGAACCCATACTCTATAACGCTCCAGGAAGAACCTTGAGCGGTTATGTATGAGGACACTAATTTGCACTCTGGGATAGCAAAAATTTCATTAAACAAACTAACATACAATGTCATATTATAGAAGACATTTTACACTTTATTGCAGAATGTACTTTTTAATATATGTGAAGGAAATGACATTTCAAAGACAATGACAAGAAGAACAAGTTCACATGCATCTGTATCAATATTCAAGAATTTACCACAAGTCTACATGTTTTGTGAAAACCAAAAAATTTTCCTTGAGGTTGTAAATAAATAAAGCAATATTGTAATCTATAAGAAGTCAGATTCAATTTCAAAAACAATCAGAGAATATATTGAATTGGATGATGAATAGTATTTGTATTTTTGAGAAGAAAAAAAATATTGCTCTGGAGGGATTCTAGTGAATTGTTGGAAAATTGGAGTACTTTCTTTAACATCAATAAACATAGCATAGCAACCAGAGTGCTTTTGGAAAGTACACTGCAATGTAAGCCCCCGATTTTGTTAGCATGTTGAAAGAATTGGGAATGAGATTAACTGAGCCAATTTATACTTACTGAAGAATTTCTTTCTTACTGAAGTAGGTCAACTCCTGAAAAATAAATATAATGTAATATTATTAATATACATTTGCCAGCAAAAACCAAAGGACAAAATAAACTAGATGTTCAAATGTATGGATGTGATTAAATGTGTAATGTATGACTGCATTATTTGGAAAACACTTTTCTTTGTTTTCATGGCAGAAAACAAATGTTGTATGCCCTCTATGTTAATTTGATGAGTCACAAATACACAGATTGAACTAAATCCTTGGCGTATCAGAAAATCCTACATTAATTGATATATCGTAATCGTCTGACTTAGCGTCCATGAAAATCGCAGTAAAAAAATGAAGTGAAAATGTCTGTTTTAGGACATTTTAAAATCGTTTCCTATGGCAAGAATATACTAGTATATCTCAACATTTTACCATTGTTTCCTATGCCAAGAATATATCTCAACATTTTACCATTGTTTCCTATGGCAAGAATATATCTCAACATTTTACCATTGTTTCCTATGGCAAGAATATATCTCAACATTTTACCATTGTTTCCTATGGCAGGAATATATCTCAACATTTTGCTCAGTGACATATGGTGAAAAAAAGGTACATGTACTTTTTGATGTCTAGAAGTATTAACAATTTTTAGTTGGTTTTTAATGAGGATATGTGCTTTCATTGTGGTCTATCGAAACCACTGCTAAAATGATATTTTATGCATTAGCATTTTAGCATACTACTGACTAATGCTAAAACGATTAATTGTAGACAGGATTTTGACAGAAATATGGTCACTGCTTTTATGTGCTGAAAAGAATATTGAAAATACACTGGCCAATGAGGATCACAAATCAGGAAATCAGACGTCGTGCAAACATTCAAACAATAAGTGAGATTGTAAGAAACAGGAGGTGGAAGTGAATTGGACATGTGTTATGCATGGAAAGGAATGACATACTGTAGAATACTTTATTTTCGCTTGGAATTTATTTTCGCTATTTTCGCTGAATGGATGATTCCGTGAAAATAAAATCCAGCGAATATACTTTTTTTCCTATATTTCACATTAAATTCATCAAAAATCAGTGAAAATAAGTTCCATACAAAACGCCCAAAAAGCCTTTTCAGCGAAAATTAATTCCAGCGAAAATAAAGTATTCCACAGTACCAAGATTCGCTTTAACATAGGCACCAGAGGGCAAAAGGAATGTGGGAAGACCAAAGAGAATTGGAGAAGAAATTTGGAAAAGAAAGAAATCAATTGGGATACAAGACTTGGGCGGAGGCAGAAGTAGCGGTGCAAGACAGAGAAGCATGGAAGAGGAGAGATGCTGGCCCTATTCTCCACCAGGAGACAAGGAAATAATGATGATGACTTTATGTGCTGAAATATGCCACATGTAAAAAAAATCATTTAAGTATAGTTGCTCTATTCAGTAGCAGTGTGCCCTCTAATAAGACTGATTTACCCGGTAGTAGGGAAGCAGAGTCAAAATGGAATCCATCGAGTCAGCTTGTTGACTGCTGAGAAGATCAGTATCAGAAACAAAATATTGTGGTCCCTGATTTACTTTGTATTAACATTTATTTTGTGTATAAAATGGGAATTTCATTTTTATCAAATTACAAATTCCACAATTATAGTAAGGCGTTTTTCAAGATAACTATATCATTGTACGATTTTCTGCTTCTGATGTAGTTGCAGTTTGTAAGAAAGTAGTGCATCATATCGGCTTAGAGGACAGTAGGGTGTAACCTTATATTGTTTATAAGGTAATTAAATGTCATTTATTTCCATAATTGTGTTTAAATTGGTCTTATATAAGTTTATTCATATTTGTCACTCATAATCAGTTCATAACATGAAAAGCAAAATTTATATTACCATGCAACCAACCATAAGGTACGTAATTTGTGTAAGACACATGTATTACTCCTACATGTATTATTCCCAGTAAAAAACAAATTATATATTTTGGCGTATTAAGTTGTGCCTGGTACAAAAGATCAGAAGCTCAGAACCTTGCATTCACACCAGGAATTTGTTGAGGCATAAACAATCGACCAGAAGCATGGTTTCCATGGAATCAGATCGTTCACGGATGGTTTATATCACAAATTTAACCATGGCTCCATTGAAATAGAATAAGACACTATTGCGTCGATTTACGCTATTGTTGAATGTAATACTAACAATGATAACTATGATACAGTGACTGTATGACAATAACGGATGTAACGAATGCATGATCAAATCGGGTGCCTACTTCCGTGTTGACAGAGTCCGCCATTTTGAATCCGCGTGTCATTCAAAACAAGACGGCTATCGTCCGTTTTGTTGTTGCACAGTCGTCAGTAAAATTATGACATGCACAGATATTATGCTGTCAAGGTATGTGGGTGTCATTATGTTGTAAAATTGACGTCAATGTGTAAGTCAACTCATTAAGTGGCGGCAGAACGAACCGTTTATGTGTAAAACACGAACGACGTCAACAAGTCTAATGACATGACAGTGAATTGATATAAAAGACCTGTTGCTTTGAAGAACGTGGCGACCTCACGCGACAACTGAAGTTCCAGACCAAAAGTGTAGTACTGACCTGGTAGTCTTCTAGCTCAGCTTCGGTAAACTGACTATTTGAAGCTCCCATTTTCACAAATTAAACCAATAGTTTAACAAATGACCTGGGACTGGCTTGTCGGCTCACCTCACAAAGAATGTGTCATTATTTGCGTTTCTAAAGGCTCCTGTGACGTCATACCGAAAACAAAAGTAAATACGTACTCTCTAACGTGGTGACAATTCTAGATACCGTATCCACACGCCGGTAATAAAAATGTAATAACAATACAACAAGTTGTTTAATGACCAAAAATGTGTGCCATTAACCTTTTCATCACCAGTTCCTTCTTTTCATCACAAATTCACAAAATACTCCTGTTTATAGTCCGCACTTTCCTCCAGAAGATTGGGACCAAAATAGCCAATTTGTTTGGTAAAAACTGAAAATTGACTCAAATTTTGCTTGTTGGCTCCAAAATTAGTGTTCAATTCCAGAAACATTGAAGAATATAAGAAAAAAAGTGCAGAAAAATGTGGGCGAGAAAGTATGGTGGTTGAAAGCAGTTATTAATGGGCAACATACAAATCCCTTTCCCTTGTATTTGTTCTCTGTGACGTTATTTTGTATAGCACCTTATGTTGTTTTCATAATTTATATAAATTCTTGTTTTCCAAACAAACCGATGGCACAATGCATTTTTACTAACAGCGCCACCTAGAATCGCCAGGTGCAGCCAACGAGTCAATACTCTGGGACAACATTTTATTTATTTTATGGGCCTTTTGAAGTATGCTAATTAATTTAAAGGAAAGAGGGTAAATTAAAAGCTGTTCATAAGCTACCCTCCACCTGAAAAAAAAACTGTCTTCCCCTCCTGCTGACCAAATTTATCTTTCCCCTGCCCTCATTAAAAAAAAAACACTTTTTGCCTACTCCCCTACCGCCAACTTGCCTTTCTTGTCCTCCTGCTGACCAAATTCATCTTTCCTCTCCCCTCATAAGAAAGCGCTTTTTCCCCTACTCTTCTCTCACTGTTTTGCCTTCCCTGGGGGGCTGCCCTTTCCCAACTGCCCACATTTAGCAGATGTTATTTTCCTCAATGCGTTTTTTTTATTATACCATGCCCTTGTTTTGCCCACCCTTCGATATTTTTTATGTAAGTACCCTACCCACTAAAAAAAGTTTCTCTGTCCTTGCATTTTTTTTAGAAATCTGCCCTGCCCACTGGGGGTACTGATATTTCCCGCCCCAAACGAAAAATAGAAAAAATGAACAGCTCCATTGGCTGCACCTGAATCGTGTGTGAATAGTGATTCCTCAAAAATGAACATGGCAAACGTGACAAAAACGCGAAACGAGCAAGACAGTCAGCGCCTGAAGTCGCCTAAAATAACAAGAACGAGATGAGTTAAATGCAAAAATGTCAAACGTGCTGATGGACTCCACAAGTCATCTCGTATGCATTATAAGGGGATCTAGTCCTAATTTTCGATCGCAGAGGTAGTTTTTAGCCTACATTTGTATATTTTGGGAGAGGTTACTACAAAGTACTGGTCGTACACTGTGATCGCTTAGCCTGACAAGGTCGCATGAATTGCGCCCTCCGCGGTGCTCCAAACCCAACACAGTGGGTGGGGGTCTGATGCCATGCGGCCGGCGAGGGCGTCGCTCACGCCTACATGTCAGGCTTGTGATCGCTCAGTGGCTCAAGAGTTGAGTGTGCCGATAGAGGGCGGTTATAACGGCGAAGATCATTGTTGCTCTGTGTTTCAGCATAGACTTATGATCTATGGTTTCAGAAAGAAAATTTAACTCAGACCAATAAAAGAGCACATCATGGGAATATGAACCAATAGCCCCATTTGTTTATTCAACGGCTTTGCCTCTGCGTGTTTAAATAAGGATTGCATCTTAGCAACAACGCAAAATTTTATTATTGTACGAATATCAAATACGTCAGTTTTTTTTCTTGTTTTTGTTTTTTTTAAAGGTTGTGGATAAACACGAACTCCATGAACAAACTGATTTACTGGAATACTTAAATCGATCAGAAGCAACATTTAACCCGTATCTATTTTAATTTAATGGGAAACTTACTGGTTTTTTTTTTCTAAATTTAAATAAATTAGTAATTATGAGCCAGTTTCATTTTATTTTCATCCAACACAAGGACTGGATTTAAAATGTACTGGTTGCCATGCCAGTTGTAAACTAGTATTTTTCATAAATTGAACATCCGATTAAACATCACAAAGGTCAGGGCTTGTCCAGAGTTGTCATGGACACGGAAGTACAAAAATGTACTCATAATATTAGATATTAGTACCAACTTATAAAGCCAAAATCTGAATTGAACAACATGTTGGCGTATGAGATTATGTATACCCAAACAGTACTGGTTATTAAAACAACTCGAAAAACGAAAACAAAATTGAACTTGAAACCAGCAAGCTAGAAAACTAAAAATAGATGATGACATTGAACTATGGGACATGGCATATGGTGACGTATGGTGTCTCATGCTTCTCAACATACGTTAGCATAATTTCAAGTTCACAAACAAAATTACAAATTACACAACTACATCTGTCTCTGAAACACATTCCCTCTTGTCTTCCATCTCACTTCATGTACAGCATAATCGTTTTGTTCACGGACTATTCCCGTGCGAAAAAAAAAAAAAAAAAAAAAAAAAAACTCACGCAAAAATATTCACCCAATAACAACAAAAAACGAGAACGATGTTCAAAATTTTATTTTTATTTTATTTCTGTTTCAAGATGTCGGACAGAAAAAAATAACATGCTTGAACGGGTCACGGAGGTTTATTGCAGAAGCGGAAAATGGTAAAGAAAGAAAGTACAAAACACCCTGCTTTTAAATGAGGCATAGTATCGCCGTACATTCATTGTTCGGTTATTTCATTAACGGGTAGAAACACGTCGAGAATTACCGTGAGCCACGACCAGGCTAGACGATATGCTAGTGACGTCATTGTTTTCACACAGTGGGAACGAAACCTTTGACTATTATAATCGTATCAGAAATTGGTGACTATTGTCAAATTATTTGATTTTAATTGGGTCATTGAAGTGTTGAGTTGAATTGTTAGGCGCTAATAAGGATTTGAGTGTGAAACGGTGTGATGACTGTCCCATATAACGGTAGGACATATACCGCGTCAGTTGTGTGATATGACCGGATGTAACATCCAGAATATGCAATGTGGCGAGTCAGAAATTGATAAGGTAACTTGTCTAGTGTTATGTATTACAGATAACTCCAAGTATGGTGGTGGAGGGGTGGGGTGACACTAAAAGTAAAAGCGGAAATAATACGGGTATTCCATTACTGCGCTATTGTTGTGCCTTCCTCTTTTGTCCATGCAAATTACGTCCAATCTCATGCACTGACCAAGGAAGCTGTCACGTGACGTTCTCCACACTGGAAACTGAGTAACAATGAACACACACTATATGTCTTTATACGTAATGGATTTCTGGTGACTAGTGACTGGTCGTCAAACATTTTTCGTAATCTGGGGGTCAATGTAAAATGATTTTCCGGCAATAATGATTAATAATTCTCGCACACAGCGAAAATAGTTGCATTTTTACCATAGCCATTTTACTCCAATGATTCTGCATCTGTAGATCTTTTTCTCTGTAATTTATTCATTTATTCGGGAAAAAACAGATGGTAACCTGCGTCAACACATTTTTGTTGCAAGTTACTGTACCAGTGAAGTGCGCCACACACGGTAGAATCGGGAAATTATTATTTTTTGAGTACAGTCTGAAGACATGTACTAGTATTTCTTTTCGGAGGATGAAAAAAACGCTCGTATTCAGGAGTATTATCTTATGGTATAAAACGTCGAAAATGGACCATTTTATAATCAATAATTCTAAGGCAAGAACAAACAAAAAGCGCATCATTTTTCAATTTGTGTTCGGGCGTAAAGCAAAAACTTTTTGTTGCCTTACAAATGTACACCCCCCCTAAAACAGAGAGCCACGTGGTACGTTCTACCACATGAGGTTACGTAATGATTACCGGTTTCATGTGCCTATTCAATGAAAATAAAGACGTTTTACTGGACTCCACTAGAAGCACAGCGTGTGCATGTGTAATGTTGCTTTTTTTAAAAACTAATTATAAAACCCGCGTACACGTTATAACAATGATCGAAGTTCCACAACTAGAGTTGCACTTGGAAAATCCCTTTGTACAAAAAAGCTATTTTCATGTAAATTTTATAATTACAAAAATGACAGCGTGTTATAATATGCAAATGGTCCTTGTTAAAAGGGGTATGGTGCGTATGTTTTTGAGAGGGTTTCAAATTTACGTGACCACAGATCACGTTACCACAAGCTGGTGCATTGAAATTGAACATCACGGATATACATCATTAACGAACGACTGGTTTCCATGACAATCACAGGCAACAGGCGTTTTGTTAGGTTTTGAACTGATGTCGTAAATGCAGTTTTACATAAAATTTGTGTTATGTCATCAATCTGAATAAATATAAGAGAACACATGTTTCTCATTCATTCTAAATCACGTAACGTCAATGGTATTTTCTGAATATGATTTTTTTATCTATCCGGGTGATATGTCGATAATTAGTTATTTTTGGATTTGTGGTTAAATCTCAGTGTCAATATAGTTTGCTGCATATGAGTTATCTGTCCCTTGGATACATTGGACGCCATTTACTTTTCCATTGTTGGAATACCGTCAATATCAGTACAATCTCGGTGACGTTTTTTGCGTTGTAATTCTGGAATCGTTCTTTTGTGTGGTGACACTAATATCATCTCACGCTGTTTTGTCAAATGAGTGTGTGTTTTTTTTCTGGTTGACCGAATAGACATTGAACATAGCCTACTTCAGATTTATATATAATAACAATGAACTCGTTATGTACGTTTGGCAAACTTTACAGTTGACGCAGTATAGTGTCATGCAATGAACTTACACGTGTTGATTTACATATACTTCTTGCGTTAAAATTGCGAAATTTAATTCCCTCGAATTGTCTTTTAGAATAATTACTGTAATCTGTTTAAAACTCCAAGACTTAGCAGACAATTCATCGCATCAATGACCAGAGAACAGATAGCCGCGAGGGCTTGTTTATACACAGACAA